TTGTAGACAATAGAATAGAAAGGATTAGGGTTTAGGGTTCAAGGTCTAGGGTTCAGGGTTCAGCGTCCAAGTTTTAGGGTTCACGGTCCAGGGTCCAGGTTTCAGGGTTTAGGGCTTAGGGCTTAAGGCTTACAGTTTGGGGTTTGGGGTTTAGGGTTTAGGGTTTCAGGTACACGGTGCGCAGGACATGTCCAGGATATAGGCTTATTTTCAGGCATTCCTAGATAATTTTTGGGACACAATGTGCAGGCCATGTTGGGGACCCGTCCTTGTTGCGGCAGGGACGCAACCTGATTTTCAGGCATTTCTAGGCAGTTTGTGGGCACGGTGTGTAGGCCATGTCCGGGACGCGTCCTGTCGTGACAAGGATGCAGCCTTATTTTCAAGCATCTCTAGGCAGTTTGTGGGCACGGTATGTAGGCAATGTTTAGGACGCTTCCTGGCCACTTTAGGGACGTAAGCATATTTTTAGCCAAATGAAGGAAGAACGGTGTACAGGCCATGTCAGAGGCGCAGACACATTCCCAAGTATTCTAGGCAGTTTCTGGGACACGGTGTGTAGGCCATATTCTGGATAAGTCATGGTCACGATAGGGACGCAGCCTGATTTTCAAGCATTTTTCCACAGTTTTTGGGTACTGTGTGCAGGCCATGTCCGGGATGCAGCCTGATTTTCAGGCATTTCAAGATAGTATTTGGGTCAAGGTGTGCAGGCCATGTCCAGGACGCGTCTGAGCCATGTCTAGGATGGAGCCTCATTTTTAGGCATTTCAAGGCAGTTTTTGGGCACAGTGTACAGGTCATGTCCGGGATGCGTCCTGATCGCTGCAGGAACGCAACTTGATTTCTAAGCATGTCTAGACAGTTTTTAGACAACTTGATTTCTAAGCATTGTGCAGGCAATGTCCAGGATACGGTTGGGATGCCGCCTGATTTTTATGTATTTCTAGGCAATTTTTGGGAAGCGGTGTGTAGGCCCTGTTCGGGATACATCTGGGTTGCGACAGGGACGTAACTTGATTGCTAGGCATTTCTAGGCAGTTCACAGGACATGATGTGCAGGCCATGTCCAGGTTGCAACTGGCACCCAACCTGATTTTCAGGCATTTCTAGGCAGTTTCTAGGGCACGTTGTATGGGCCATGTCCAAAACATGGTATGGACATAGCCTAATTTTCAGGCACTTCTGGGCATGATGGGTAGGCCATGTCAGGGATACGTCCGGGCCGTGGTAGGGACATAGCCTGATTTTCAGGTATTTTATGGCAATTTTTTGGAACAGTGTGCATGTCATGTCCGGGACGCGTCCTGGCCGTGTTAGGGACGCAGCTTGATCTTCAAGCATTTCTAGGCAATTTCGAGGACTCGGTGTGCAGGCCATGTCCAGGAAGCGACATGGCCAAGGTAGGGACGCTACTTGATTTTCAGGCATTTATGGGCAGTTTTTGGGCATTGTGTGCAGGCCATGTCTTGGACGCATCCTATCGCGATAGGGACGTAGCATTATTTTTAGTCATTTCTAGGCAGTTTCTGGGTCACAATGTGAAAGCCATGTCCAGGATGTAGTAGGGACGTATCCTTATTTTCATGTATTTCTATGCAGTTTTCTAGGGAATGATTTGCAAGCATTGTCTAGGACGAGTTCCAGGCATTTCTAGGCAGTTTTTGGGGCATAGTGTGCAAGCCATGTCCAGGAGTGTAAGGGACGCAACTTGATTTTCTGGCATTTCTAGGCAGTTTCTGTGACAAGGTGTGCAGGCCATGACCGGGACGCGTCTGGGCCACGGTAGGGTCCCAGCCTAATTTTCAGGCATTTTTCGAAAGTTTTTGGGCACCATGTGCAGGCCACTTTCGGGATGCCTCCTTTTCGTAGTAGGGGGCACAACCTGATTTTCAGGCATTTGTAGGCAATTTGTGGGTACGTTGTGCAGGTCATGTCCGGGACGCGTCCTGGCTGTGGTAGGGACGTAGCCTGATTTTCTAGCATTTCTTGACAATTTCTGGAACTTGATGTGCAGGCCATGTTCGGGATGCGTCATGGCCACAATAGGGACAGAGACTGATTTTCAGGCATTTTTTTGCAGTTTTTGGGACACGGTGTGCAGGCCATCTCAAGGATGCGACAGGGACGTATCCTGTCTTTCAGGTATTTTTTGGTAGTTTCTGGAACACGATGTGCAAGCAATGTCTGGGAGGCGTCAGGGCCGCGGGTTTCCAGCCATTTCTAGGCAATTTTTGAGACACGATGTGTAGGCCATGTCTAGGATGCTACGGGGATACATCCTGATTTTCACGTATCTCTAGTCAATTTCTTGGACCCGATGTGCAGGCAGTGTCCAAGACGCATCAGGGCTGCTGGAGGAATGCAACCTGATTTTCGGATATTTCTAGGTAGTTTTTGGGACACGGTGTGCATGCCGTGTCCAGGATGCGACAGGGATGCAACCTGATTTTCAAGCATTTTTGGGCAGTTTCTAGGACACGATGTGAAGGTGATGTTCGGGATGTGTCTTGACCACAGTAGGGACGCGGCCTAATTTTCTGGCATTTCTGGGAAGTTTTTGGGCACGATGTGCAGGCCATGTCCTAGATGCAGTCTGATTTTCTGGCATTTCTTGACAATTTCTAGGACTCAATTTGCAGGTCATGTCCGGGATGCGTCATGACCACGACAGGGACGGAGCCTGATTTTTAGGTAATTTTCAATTCTGGGACACGGTGTGCAGGCCATCTCCAGGTTGTGATAGGGGCATATCCTGACTTTTAGTTATTTTTATGCAATTTCTGGAACACGGTGTGCATGCAATGTCCGGGTCGCGTCTGGGCTGCAACAAGGATAGGGCTTGGTTTTCAGGCATTTCTAGGCAGTTTTTGGGATACGATGTGCTGGCCATGTCTAGGATGCTACAGGACACATCTGATTTTCATGTTTTTCTAGTCAATTTCTTGGACACGATGTGCAGGCAATGTCCAAGACGCGTCGGGGCTGCTGTAGGATGCAGCCTGATTTTCAGTCATTTCTAGGCAGTTTTTAGGACACGGTGTGCAGGCCATGTCCGGGATGCGTCTTGGCCGCGGCAGGGATGCAACCTGGTTTTTTGGCATTTCTTGACAATTTTCTGGGACTTAATGTGCAGGCCATGTTCGGGACGTGTCATGCGCACAACAGGGACGGAGACTAATTTTCAGGCTTTTTTTTACAGTTTCTGGGACACGGTGTGCAGGCCATCTCAAGGATGCGATAGGGACGTATCTTGACTTTTAGGTATTTTTTGGCAGTTTTTGGAACACGATGTGCATGCAATTTACGGGACGCGTCAAGGCCGCGACAGGGATGCAGCTTGGTTTTTAGGTATTTCTAGGCAATTTTCGGGATACAATGTGGAGGCCATGTCTAGGATGCTCTAGGGATACATCCTGATTTTCACATATTTCTAGTCAATTTCTTGGACACGATGTGCAGGCAATGTCTAGGATGCATTAGGGCTACTGCAGGGATGCAACCTGATTTTCATACATTTCTAGGTAGTTTCTGGGACACGATGTGCATGCCATGGCTAGGATGCGATAGGGCACAACCTGATTTTCAAGCCTTTCTGGGCAGTTTCTAGGACACGATGTGCAGGCCATGTCCGGGTCACAGTAGGGACGCGGCCTAATTTTCTGGCATTTCTGGGAAGTTTTTGGGCAAGGTATGCAGGCCATGTCCTAGACACAACCTGATTTTCTGACATTTCTTGACAATTTCTAGGGCTCGGTGTGCAGGTCATGTCCGGGACGTGTCATGACCACCACAGGGACGGAGCCTGATTTTAGGTAATTTTTGGCAATTCTGGGACACGGTGTGCAGGCCATCTTCAGGTTGCGACACGGACGTATCTTGACTTTTAGTTATTTTTATGCAATTTCTGGAACACGGTGTGCAAGCAATGTCCGGGTCAAGTCTGGGCCACGGCAGGGATAGGGCCTGGTTTTCTGGCATTTCTAGGCAGTTTTTGGGACACAATGTGTTGGCCATGTCTAGGATGCTGTAGGGACACATCTGATTTTCATGTTTTTCAAGTCAATTTCTTGGACACAATGTGCAGGCAATGTCCAGGACGCGTCGGGGCTGGTGCAGGGATACAGCCTGATTTTTAGGCATTTCTAGGCAGTTTTTAGGTCACGGTGTGCAGGCTATGTCCAGGAAGTGGCAGGGACGTAGCCTGATTTTCAGGCATTTCTAGGCAGTTTCTGGGACACTATGTGCAGGCCATGTTCGGGATGCGTCCGGGCCACACCAGGGACGCAGCCTGATTTTCGGGCATTTTTGGGGAGATTTTGGGCACGGTGTGCAGACCATGTCCTAGATGCAGCCTGATTTTTAGGCATTTCTTGTCAGTTTCCGGGTCATAGTATGCAGGCCATGTCCGGGACGCGTCATGGCCAGGGCAGGGATGGAGCTTGATTTTTAGGCAATTTCGGGCAGTTTTTGGGCCCGATGTACCGACCATTTTCGGGACGCCTCCTGGGCAGGTAAGGATGCAGCCTGATTTTCAGGCATTTCTAGGCAGTTTGTGGGTACGGTGTGCTGGCCAAGTCCGGGATGCATCCTGACTGCAGCAGGGACGACGCCTGATTTTTAGCTATTTCTAGGCAATTTTAGGACTCGGTGTGCAGGTCAAGTCTGGGACGCGTCATGGCCACGACAAGGATGCAGCCTGATCTTCAGGCAATTCTAGATAGTTTCTGGGTCATAGGGTTTGGGGTTTAGGTTTTTTTTTTAAAATTAATTTTGAATGAAAAACAAGTAATATATACATGACAAAAAATAATAAAAATAAAAGGTAGCTCAAAGTTACAACCCATGAGTAATAAAACTATTCCACACAACGGAACCAAACTTCCCACCGTCGCAATGCCACAAATAAACCCCACCGTCGCCTTCAAACTAGTACAACCGTTAGTCGGGGCTGGCATTGATGCATGGTAGTGGTGACGGTGATGATGAGAAGAAGGTGCCTACGCTGTAGATTGGTGGCTGGAGCCATTTTTTTCGGACAAAACCATAACCTCTAGCCTTTGACCTTTTTGGCAATGTTCTTCAGCTCCACTGATAAAGAAAAATGGACATGATTTTTCTACTGAAAATGTAGTTTCTCTATCATTGTGTGATTTTATTGGATTGGCGTTGTTGCAGATTTTGTAGTCTTCCTCGTTCACTTCCAGCACTGAATAAGTCTTGGAATTATACTTCAGAACTAAAGAATCCCCAATCTGAAAATGAGTTTTCTTAGCCCATTTGTTGAACTCGTCAACAAAAGATGGAACTGCCCATAAATTATTTTTATAGCCCACTACGAACTCTCTTACTTCAGAAAGAACACAGGAAAAACATGACGGCTGAAAATGAGAAAATACTTTTGAGTGAAGCAATTTTAACACGGTGTGCAGGCAATGTTCGGGACGCTTCTGGGCCGCGGTAGGGATGCAACCTGATTTCCAAGCATTTCTAGGCAATTTTTGAGATACGGTGTGTAGGTCATGTCCAAGACGAGTTAGGGACGCTACCGAATTTTCAGGTATTTCTAGGCAGTTTCTGGGACATGGTGTGCAGGCCATGATCGGGACGAGTCCGAGTCACGACAGGGACGTAACCTGATTTTCAGGCATTTCTGGGATGATTTTGGGCATAGTGTACGAGCCATGTCCGGGACGCATCCTAGCTGTGGTAGGGACGCAGCCTAATTTTCAAGTATTTGTAAGTAATTTCTGGGACTCGGTATGCAGTCCATGTTCGGGCCTCGTTTGGGCCGCGGTAGAGATGCAGCCTGGTTTCCAGGCATTTCTAGGCAATTTCGAGGGCACAGTGTGTAGGCCATGTCCATGATGCTATAGGGACACATCCTAATTTTCACGTATTTCTACACATTTTCTTGGACACAGTATGTAGGCAATGTTCGGGACGCGTCGGGGCTACTGCAGGGATGCAACCTGATTTCCAGGCATTTGTGGGTAGTTTCTGGGATACGGTGTGCAGGCCATGCCTAGGATGTGGCAGGGACGCAGCTTGATTTTCAAGCATTTCTAGGCAGTTTTTGGGATATGGTGTGCAGGCCACGTCCGGGATGCATCCGGGCCACAGCGGGGTCGCAGCCTGATTTCAAGCATTTTTGAGAAATTTTTGGGCACTGTGTGCAAGCCTTGTCATAGACACAACCTGATTTTCAGGCATTTCTCGTTCGTTTCTGGGTCACGGTGTGCAGGTCCTGTCAAGGATGCGTTAGGACCACAGCAGGGACGGAGCTTGATTTTCAGGTAATTTTAGGTGGTTTCTGGGGACGGTGTACCATATACGGGATGCTTCTTGGCCAGGTAGGGACACAACCTGATTTTTAGGCATTTCTAGGCAATTTGTGGACACGGTCCATTGGCCAAGTTCGGGACGCATCCTGGCCACGACAGAGACGCAACCTGATTTTCAGGCATTTCTAGGTAATTTTTGGGACTTGTTGTGCCGGCCAAGTCCGGGACGCGTCATGGCCACGGCAGGGATGCAGTCTAACTTTCAGGTATTTCTAGGCAGATTCTGGGTCATAGTGTTTAGGGTTTTTCTTCAATTAATTTTAAATTAAAAGCAGGAAATATATACATGACAAAGAATAATAAAAATAAAATGTAGCTTAACGCTACAACACATGAATAATAAAATCTGTCTACACAACGAAACCAAACTTCCTACCGTCGTAGTGCCACAAATAAACCCCACCGTCGCTTTAAGACCAGTACCACCATTAGTCAGGGCTGGTGCCGGTGCGTGGTAGTGGTGACGATGATGATGAGGAGAAGGTGCCTACACTGTAAATTGGTGGCTAGAGCCATGTTTATCGGACAAAACCATAACCACTAGCTTTTGACCCTTCTGGCAACGTTCTTCAGCCCCACTGATGAAGAAAAACAGACCAGATTTTTCTAGTGAAATTGTAGTTTCTCCATCATGGTGTGATTTTATTGGATTGTCGTTGTTGCAGATTTTGTAGTCTTCCTAGGTCACTTCCAGCACTGAGTTAGTCTTCGAATCATGCTTCAGAACTAAAGAATCCCCAATCTGAAAATGAGTTTTCTTAGCCCATTTGTTGAACTTGTCAATAGAAGATGGAGCTGCCCATAAATTATTTTCACCGTCTTACAAACTCTCTTGCTTCAGAACGAACACACAACAAAAACACGACGGCCGAAAATAAAAAAATAATTTTTAGTGAAGCCATTTTAACACGGTGTGTAGGCAATGTCCGGGATGCGTCAGGGCCGCGGCAGGGATACAACTTGATTTCCAGGCATTTCTAGGCAGTTTCTTGGATGCAGTGTGCAGGCCATGACCAGGACGCGATAGGGACGCAGCCCGATTTTAAGGTATTTCTCGGCAATTTCTAGGACACGATGTGCAGGCCATGACTGGGATGCGTTCGGGCCACAACAAGGACGCGGCCTGATTTTCAGGCATTTTTGGCAAGTTTTTGGACACAGTGTGCAGGCCACGTCCGGGACGCCTCCTAGCCACGGTAGGGACGCAGCCTAATTTTCAGGCATTTGTAGGCAGTTTGTGGGCATGGTGTGCCGGCCATGTTTGGGACGCAGCCTGATTTTCAGGTATTTCTTAGTAAATTTTGGGACTCGGTGTGCAGTCCATGTTCGGGACGATCATGGCCCACGGCAGGGACGAAGCCTGATTTTCAAGCAATTTTAGGCACTTTCTGCGACACCGTGTCTAGGATACGACAGGGACGTATCCTGACTTTCAGGTATTTCTAGGCAGTTTCTGGAACACGACGTGCAGGTAATGTTCGGGACACGTCTAGGCCATGGCAGGGATGCAGCCTGGTTTTCAAGCATTTCTAGGCAATTTCTGGGAAACGGCGTGTAGGCCATGTCCAGAATGCTGTAAGGATACATCCTAATTTTCACGTATTTCGATGCAATGTCTTAGATATGGTGTACAGGCAATGTTCAGGATGCGTCGGGGCTACTGCATGGATACAGCCCGATTTCTAGGCATTTGTAGGCAGTTTCTGGGACATGGTGTGTAGGTCATGTCCGGGACGTGGCAGGGATGCAGGCCATGTCTAGGACGCGTCATGGACACGGTGAGCAGACAATGGGTCTTCAAAATTAAATACCATTCTTATAGCACCCTAGAAGTTTGTGAGGCTTGACTTATTGCTAAAGGATTTATACAAAGGAGAGGGATCGAAATTGAGGACTTCATCATATGAATGTCTATACTTGACCCAATGTACCACGAATGAACAAAATACATTGAGTTGATTACCACACAGTACAAGAAAAAAAATTAAAGTTGGGAAATTGAGATAATCTACAATGAAATGGGACAACAAATAGGTGGTTATTTACTAAATCACTGGAATAAGTTGTTTTTCACTGACAAAGAAAATTTTGAGTTCTTGACATTCACACTCCAACTTTAGGGAAGTATTGAAGGAAAGGAAATCACTTTATATTATGATCAAGGAATATATGCATAATGTATAGCTGTGGTTTTGAATAATTGTGTGCAAGACATCTAGGAATTATGTCTTAAAGCAATTATAAGAATTCTTGTTATAATTGGCAATTTGTGAGAGAACACTTATTTTCAAAGCTACTATTAACAAAAATACTTTTCTAGTAGAAGAGTGTTACATACCATTTTGACTCGGCTGCTGAGAATCCTGAACATAAAAATATAAGAGATTATAAATATATTATTGGATGATAGCAAAAAAGTCATAATAATTGACAACATCATCGCTAAGACATACAATGAACCCTCAACAAATTCAAGAAATGAATTAGCATTCCCTTGACTTTTTATTATTTTTTCCTTTTTTCTTTTTTTTTTTTTTTTAAATATTTAGCTAACAAATTACTCCAAACTAACTTCTTCTGCTTGCAAAAATAAAGTCTGGCCAAACAATAATTTTTTTTAACTAAAACATAAAATGGAAAATAGATACTTACTGTGTTGAAAAGCAATGACAATAGTTGAAATCCAACTAGGAAATGTGTCCTCCTTTCTTACCCAGTGGCTAGTGAATCAACGCTTCTTCTTGAGCTGGAAATATAATATCAATTCAAGTTAATTTGAATGTTATATTTTATACAACATTTAAAAAATAGAATGCGAATATATTTTACCGTGTGCAGGCCACGTCAGGAACGTGTCCTGGCCGCGGTAGGGGTACAACCTTATTTTTTGGTATTTCTAGGCAGTTTGTAGGCACGGTATGCAGGCAATGTTTAGGAAGCTTCCCGACCACATTTGGGACGTGTAATACCCCGAACTTCACGTTCTACATTTGGCCAATATGATTCATGCATTCCATGCTAATTACATTGTCATTTGTATCAATTTCCTGATTGCCTTCTCTTAAAATGATGCATTTGATCATCAAGGCTTTAAAATCTTTACATGGTGATAACCTTCGACTCTTCGATCTAGGTGGTGAATATATGTTGAGCTATAATAGAAAGTTAGATTAACTAAATGTTGGAGATTGGCTTGGTAAGTAATGTAATATTTGAAAGGCCAAAAATTTGTATCAACGAAGGTTCAAGCTTTCCATTCGGCTAATTGAGGTCACCTTAAACCCTAGATAGGTAATTCACATATTTGGGATATGAGGGATGAAGTGACATTATCACAACGTAATAATATATGTCTCATATGACATTATAAATATTGAGGTGCGAATTGTTGAAATCGGTTGAGAATCGGGTAAGAAATTAAGTGAACAGTTGAGGAATTAGATCTATAAAATACTTTGGGATCTTAATGCAAGTGAAATAGATTGTAAGCACATCAAAATAAACCAACGACACTTGATTTATACCTGCAAGGATAGATGTAAAATCAGAATTTAATCAAAGGAGACAACACCTACTTAACATGTGACGACTTGCCACTTTAACCTCTAATTCCTTCAACCTTAAGCCTCCAACATGTCCTATAAGTCCTTAGAACTTTACACAAGATATTTATAACTCTTTTAAGTCACATATAGCTCCATGTGGTGCAAGGGAGAAGTCAAAGTTGGCTGCAAGAAGCCACCTCCTACTTGGACAGCTCATGCTAGGGGACTTTTCACTTTAATATATAATTGCTTCAACCTTAAGGCATAAATTTCGTGTCTAATCCCCAAGGACTTAATATAGGATGAATATATATCTTAAATATCATAAATGGACACAAAAATAATGGTATAAAAGTCAAGTATTGCAGCCAAGATGACAGCTCCAGCTTAGTGACTCACCTTGATTGCTTGAGGTGGCTGCAGCCCATAATATTCTTAATCCTTAAGTAATATGCACGACTTCAACCATTTGAAGACCACTCATTTACCTCCTAGATAGTATATTAACTCCCTTAACTCTTCCCTAAGTGATTCCAAGTGAAAAGAGGGTGAAACAGTCAAAGAGAAACAGAAACAAGAAGCTGGAATTTCGGAACAGCCTTGTTACTCCACAGTTTTGAGGTTTGTTTCTATTATTTCTTAAGGGGTTTATGATTTCTTGAACATCTGAACTTTTTTTTGATTAAGTTGGAGTGTTGTTAATGATGTTATGATGCCTATATAGGGGTAATTTATTGCAAGAATTTGAAAGAAAGTAATCTG